TTTCAAGCTGTCAAGGGAGAAGCCTTTTTTCAAGCTCACACATTGTTTGATTTGTTTTTACCTGAGGTCTATTATATCAATAATGAGGCCCTTAAATTTTTTAAAAACAAAACAAACACAACAAGAGGCCTTTGTTTATAATTATTTTTCCTTACTGATTGCATCGATAAATGACAAACAAACAAAAAAGCATGAAAGGAAGTCTGTTAAGTTTTAGATATCTACTCCAGCTCCTCAAATGGTTACTGAAGCAATTTAGAAATTGACTAAAATCAGTAATGGTATAAAATACTGTGTTCCTCTTTAGCTGATTCAGGAGAAAAAGGCAATCATAGCTTCTTCTTCTTCTTCTACATGTGTATTAAGTAGTAGCAGGTGGTAGTTGTAGTAGTGGTAATAGTAGTTATTGTCATCATTATTGTTGTTGTAGTAGTAGTACAGACTACAGATTACCAGCTGGACCCCTGGGATTTGTGCAGGACTGGCTCTTTTTTTAAAAAAAAATAGCAGCAACATTAGCCAAAAAATGGTTTTTACATTAAAAACTCAGGCTTTTGCACCAAAATTTTATATTTTGTACTTTAAAACCTTACATTTTGTGCAAAAGATAAACTTGTAAAATACATAATGCAAAGGTTTTTGGCACAAACATACTTTTTTCACAATTTCTTTCACACAAAAAGTGCCAAAATTCACAAAAAAAACTCCCACAATCAATGCCAGTAGGAAGAAAGCTTTTGAAATGTAAAAGTTACTGAGGAACATTAACTGTGAGGTCATGTCCTGCTTGTGGGCTTCTCACGGACATCTGGTGGCCACTGCGTGAATTAGGGCTGTTCTTCCTTCCTGTTAGAGCCATGCAAGGGTCCCTTGATTCAGTGCAAAACCTAATTTGGAGATGCAGATTGGAACCTGATCTACATTGATTTTGGATCTGAATCTGAGTTGAAATACAGAAATCTAGATCTTCATACCTCCCATGCGTTTGCATTGGGAAACTAAAATGGCTGTAAAATCTCTGGTTTTTTTTATTGATATGTCTGAAATTTGGAGAACGAATAGTCCTGTCATGGAGAATTATTCCTGTGAAATACCTGACACATAGATACAGGGAAAAATCAGTAAGGGACGTGGTGGCGCTGCAGGCTAAACCGCAGAAGCCTGTGCTGCAGGGTCAGAAGACCAAGCAGTCGTAAGATCGAATCCACGCGACGGAGTGAGCGCCCGTCGCTCGTCCCAGCTCCCGCCAACCTAGCGGTTCGAAAGCATGCAAATGCAAGTAGATAAATAGGGACCACTTCGGTGGGAAGGTAACAGCGTTCCGTGTCTAAGTCGCACTGGCCATGTGACCACGGAAGATTGTCTTCGGATAAAAACGCTGGCTTTATGGCTTGGCAAGGGGGATGAGCACCGCCCCCTAGAGTCATAGACGACTGGACAAAAATTGTCAAGGGGAAGCTTTACCTTTACTTTACCAAAAACTGCCATATGCTTTTTGTTTTTTAACATGAAATGTGGAGACATTGCATTCCCTTTAGAGTGTGTGATTCGTTGAAAGTGATGAATGGAAAAAGAAGTTCATTGAGACACCTGCTTCAGCAGTTGGAAAAGTGTGCGATTCCTGACCAGAATATAAGTAAGTTCAGAGTTGCTTCTGCTATCCACTATTCTGTTTGCTTTAATATATTTAAAGGCTGCTCGTAGGTACACCACCTTTCTGTACTGTGATCGGGTCTGTGATTAATGTATGAAGTTTGTATGTGTACTCTGTAAAGACAGAGCAAGAACACTAAGCAATAGAGATAGAAATCAAATGCAAACATAATCTTTAAAAAAAACTAGAGCAAAAGGATTGGGGCAGGGATGAAAAAGGAAATAGGAAGTGCCACTGTGTTATAAAAGTACTACTAAGATAACACTAAGCTGGCTGGATAGCTCAGTGGTTTGGGTATCTGGTTGGGAGTTTGATTCCCCAGTGTACCTTTTGCAAGTAGAGCCAGCCTGTGATGCCTTGAGCAAGCTGCACAGTCCCAGAAGTGCCCCTAGAATAAGGAAATGGTCAACCACTTCTCAGCCTTCTCTACCTGTATAACCCTGAAAAGGATTGCCATTAGAGATGGGCATGAGCTGCAGTTCAGCCCAGTTTGGTGCAGTGCCCATATAGGTGTTTCACAAGCATCACATGCTTTCCTCTCTTGCCTCGCCCAATTCACCACCAGCAGCAACACTTCCGTCCTCTGCCTCCTCAGGCAATTTCCCGCTCAAAGGCAGCGCTGCAGACTTCCCCACCTTCTTGTCTGAGTGGACAGCCACCAGAGAAGATGGAGGAAGGAAGCGCAGGCTGCTGCCAGAGAGTGGACGAGGCAGGGAGGTGAAGAATGCAGCGCTCGGGGAACACCTGTGCGGGCTCAGCGCCGAATTGGGCCAAACTGTGGTTTGTGCCCGTCTCTCACTGCCAAACCACTGGAATTAGTCCCCAGAGGTTCTTGGCCAGCACACCTCAGAAACTCTGGCCAGCACAGCTAGTGGTGATGGCTTCTGGGAGTTTTAGTCCAAGATCATCTGGGGATCCAAGACTGGGAACTGCTAGTGTAGCGTATTCAGTTGTGGTGTTCTTCCTAACTGAGAGGGAACATGCCTTGATTTTTTTTTCACACACAGACACACACACACACACACACACACAGAGAGAGAGAAAGAGAAAGAGAGAGAGAGAGAGAGAGTTTTGGGATCATTCAAGTACCAGAGCATTTGGGGCATCTGTGTCTCATTACCTGACTAAACTATACAGTACCCTGAGTTCTTTGTGAGCTACAACACAAAGTCACCTTTTCTCTTCCATCATTCTCTTTTGTGAGCTGCCTCCACTTTTGGGCACACTCATTATGCAGCTTTTCTGTCTTAATATATAGCATTATGTAAAACTGTATTAAAAATGATAACTATCACAAAGAGAAAATGAAGGACTTTCTTGTTCCTTAACAATTCCCTTTGTACTAAAGACAAAAAAAGTGTGCCATAATCATCATCTTTTGGAAGATTTGATTTATGCTTTCTATGTTGGTCTTAAAGCTTTTTTTAAAAAAAAGAGCCTTTAGTTTAAAATATTTGGCTTAATAAAACATTTACTTCTTTGATTTACATTATCTAGAGCAGGGCAGGTGTCTCTCTGGATGAGAGGCCTGATCTGGCCTGAGAAGGACCCAGATCGTGCTTAAGAGTGTGTGTAGAGAATGCTCTTCCATTTCCCACAAAATCTTACCCTCAGAGTTGGGAAGAATTCCCTGTGCACAACTTTGTGGTAGGAAAGCTGAAGACAGGGAAACACAGCCATCATCAGTGACTTGGGAACATAGGTAGATGAATATACAGTATTACCTCTGGTTTCTCCCAAATTCAAATGCTTAGATCTCAAATTCCTTCCATTCTGAATGTGAAGTTATTTGAGAATTTTAATAAATCCTGAGGAATCAAAGTGAAATTCTCTCCTCTCTTTAGCTCCAACTGACAAATGTTTCCCTTTTTTTTTAACTGAGCAGTCAGATTCCCTCATCTGCACCAGTTCTACAACAGTTGCTAAACATCATGCAAGGTAGAATACCAGCCTGACTTGTCCCCATGAGGGAGGAGGGCAAGGAGGATGTGCACTGAACCTGAGGTAATCCACAGGGAGGGCCTGACTTGCATCCAGAGTTACTCACACAGACCCAGACGGGGGAAGCAGACACCTCTTCCAGACACAGCTCATGACCATCCCTGTTTTGCGCCCCAACCTGACTGATTTAGGCCCCAGAGGCAATCCTTATCCCAAAATTGCAGACCTGACATTGCCAGGTACCCACATCTTCTATCGACCGGGGTGTTGGCAAGTCTTTGGGTCTGAGTAACAAGTCCTGAGTCCCAAGTCCAAGTGCCAATCAAAAACAAGCATTTTTCCACATATGAAATGGAGAAAGTGGGTGGCAAGTCGAATCCAAGTCATTGGAAAACAAAACAGCAACAACAACGAAAAACAAATCAAGGTCGAATCCAAGTCATTGGAAAACAAAACAACGAAAAACAAGTCAAATCTGGATCAAGTCACCAGGGCAACTTAAGTCCGACTTGACAGCGAGTCCTGCATCTCGAGTCTCCATCCCTGTCTATCACTACCTACTATTACTTACTGTATTCCTTGTTATTTCTCTGTTCAAATGTCATCACTGAAGTGAGTCATCAAGGAAAATGAAATGTTCTGTTTTGCCTTCTCAGGCTCTTCTGCCTTCCTCTGGATGGTTAATCCTTGCTCTGCCTGCCTCGTCACACTAGGCTACATTGCCTTAGTCTTCATGCGTCTGAAGCAGATCCAGGGAGCCAACAGGATTGACAAATATGTTGACTAAATCTTTCAGCACTTGAATCAATGGGTCTACTCATGTTGGGTCTAACAAGTTGATCTAGACCTTTAGCCACATGCTTTGGTGCACCTGCTTCCCTGAATGCCCAGTTATCTTGCTTCCTGCTGTCCTCATTTAGTACTGATTTAGAGAACTACCATTTGTAAGCCATTGCGTTTTCTTCCTTAATTCCTGTTTCCTGCTGTTCTTCTTGCAAATGATGATGCCTTGCTACAGCCAAGCACCCGAGGCTTTGTATTCTCTGCACAATATAATTAGAGGGAAAATAAGGGTATCACATTTTAAAAGCTCAGTATGTTGTCAGTGCTGCAGCGAGAGTCATTTCCACATGATTTTAAAAATACCACAATTAGCACATAACATGCAATTTTTTTATAATAAGTAGATTCATTAGCACAATTAAAATTACAAACCTTTGCCATCCCTACCCTGTAAAAAGGCACTAAAAATTGATGGACACATTTTTTTAACAGATGATACGTACTACTAGGCACATGAGGCCAACCCAATTCTTTCTACAGCAGAGGTTTTTAGAAATCAGCTTTTCCATCCGAAAAAAATATAAACAGGCAGTCAGTTTTATTAGCCTGGACAGAATTGGATTGGATGGTAGTAAAGAACAGCTTTGTCACAGAGGTGGAAAAACTTTCCCGGTGAGAACCCTAGAGGTCTAGTAAGTGATAACAGAGTGGGTCCTCAAAAATTGGGACAGCACATTTAGGGGTTATGCAGAATTACAGGTGTGGAGGAGGAGGAGCAGGGGCCAGGTTATAGCTGCCATTTCTTAACAGCGTCCTTCCTGTTCCTAGGTTTCGCCATCCCAATATTGTAGAGTTTGCTGGTTATTGTGCTGAACAAGGCCATTATTGCCTTGTCTACGTCTTCCTTCCCAAAGGCTCCTTGGAGGATCATTTACATGGACAGGTACCCAGATGTACTCCTCTCCATTCTTGTTTTTCTTCCTAGTTACCTACTGAAATTCGGCTGGCACCCTCGCTGGGTGTCTTCAAAAGCCAACTGAAAACTTGGCTATTCAAGCAGGCCTTCCCTCCAGTCAATTAAGTGATGCTTATTTCTTATTTCTTTCCTTTTAACTCATGCCATCTTGGGACTCTTTGCTTTGCTTTAAATTGATTGTTAAAATTGTAAGTTCTTTGATTATATATTTTTCTGTTTTTATCTATGTAAATTGTGTATATTTTAAATTGTTTGCTATTTGTATGTTGTGAGCCGCCCAGAGTATACCATGTCTAGATGGGCGGCATATAAATGCAATAAATGAATGAATGAATGAATGAATGAATGAATGAATGAATGAATGAATGAATGAATGAATGAATGAATAAATAAATAAATAAATAAATAAATAAAGGGAAGGTATGTGTGTCACATGTATGCATAAATATATATGGATGGGTGTGCATGTATTTGTGTGTTTCCATAGATATGTAGATATAGGTAGACATACCCATACAAATGTGTGTGTGTGTCTATATGTCTGTCTGTCTATCTTCTGTCCCTGTGTATATAGTGGGTTCTTGAGAAGGAGGCTACAGTACCGCCCTTGTTCTCTGACCTGTTTCTCTTTGTCTGTTTCTTTGTTAGGCCGGTCTTGGCCTTAGTTGGGGCCAACGACTCCATGTGGCCGTGGGCGTGGCCAGGGCCATACAGTTCCTGCACAGTGACTCTCCCAGTCTCATCCATGGAGATGTGAAGAGGTGAGAGAAAGGAGGAGAACTTCCCCCAAGACAGGATGCAACCATCATAAGGGGCATGATTTTCAATCTAGAAGTGGAGAGGGTGTTGCTTCCTCCAGAGGAGAGGGCGCCCTCTGCTCCTCCGCCCATTCTCTGTTGGGAGGAAGTCTGGGTTCTTGCAAGGCAGCAGATCCATGGCTTTGTGCCCCATGATGCCACAAGACAGCAGGCAGAGAGGGAGGAAGTCCGCCTGTCCTGAGGAAGACATCTAAGCGTTACGTCTCATTTTTGGCAAAACCATTGGAAAGTGTACGTCTGTTGCTTTGGAAGGAAAACGAGGCGTTTGACTTCACTTTTGCCCTTGCCATTTTTGGAGCGTGCGTTTGTTTGCTTGCTTGCTTTATTTACAGGCTGCCTTTCTCTCCATAAGGGGACCCAGGCTGGCTCACAATATTAAAAAGAATAGAATTAAAAACGTAATAAGTTAAACATTAAAAAAAACAATTAAACTACACGCTGATTAAAATATTTGTACTGGAAAATTCCCATGCCCACTGCCAAGAAGAAAAATAGTTGCTCTGGCAATTAAGCAAACAAAACCCAAGGCAGCTCACAATATTAAAAGGTGTAGAATTAAAAACGTAATAAGTTAAACATTAAAAAAAACAATTAAACTACACGCTGATTAAAATATTTGTACTGGAAAATTCCCATGCCCACTGCCAAGAAGAAAAATAGAAGCTCTGGCAATTAAGCAAACAAAAAAAAAAGCTTGCTGTTTATTATCCTAGAAAAATCTCTTTTTTTACTGAACAAACAGAAAGAGAAACTCCTACAGTTGGCTTCTGTGATTGCAGACCTTCCTGGTATCTGTTCTGAAAGAGCTGTGTAGAAAATGGCTCTCTCTCCAACTAGGAAGTGAAAGAACAGGACAGGACTACAGAGGAAGCCAGACAATGGATGCCGAGACAAGAGTAGCGGTCAAGCAGAGATTGATTCAAGGAGAGCCTCGTGGCGCAGTGGTTAAAACGCTGTACTGCAGCTAAAACTGTGCTCACGACCTGGGGTTCAAATCCCAGGTAGCCGACTCAAGGTTGACTCAGCCTTCCATCCTTCCGAGGTCGGTAAAATGAGTACCCAGCTTGCTGGGGGGGCAATGTGTAGCCTGCATAATTAAAATTGTAAACCGCCCGGAGAGTGCTTGTAGCGCTATGGGGCGGTATATAAGTCCAATAAATAAATAAATAAATAAATATTTAGAAAATGTAAGAGCATACTTCTATAAAAATGAATTAATAAAATTCTCACACATATCCCAATGAAACATGACCCAAACCTCTAGGAAATTTCAGTAAAATAATTAGAATATATTGACACCATGTACACATTGATTCTGCATACATCATGTCTTCTACCCATTCATCCTTAAGCTCCCACTGCTCTGCACAAGAATCACAACACATGTATTCAGTGATATCATCCAACCATTGGGGTTTGGAATATAAGTGTCGTTTCTAGAGCTGAAAATAGATCTTGCTGTCTTCGCAATGACAAGATGGAACAGTAAGGACTCTTTTGATAGTAACTATATTAATATAATATCCTTACTATTACTTCATTCATGTTCATGGGTTCAAAAGATTTTAAAAATTCCCTCGACTGGGTAGGCACAAAAGTGGTTTTGTGCATTCTTCATGTTTCAGGACTTTTTAATTTTATTTTATTTTATTGAAAATTCCTGGAAGTGGCTTTGCACAATAACATATATTTTGAATGAGGGAGGCATGTTCTGTGAAAAGGCTGCATTATAAGAGTCTTTCCATACATTCGAACAAAAGAAACCTAGGTTTTTCAGCACCTGGAAAGAACAAAGAGCTTTCCACACATTTTTGGGTGTGTGTTTTTTTGGTAAAAAAAATCTCTTTCATCTGGAATGAGAAGCGTTGTGAGCATTCATCCTCTCTTTAGCTGGTAGCCCACCCTCCCCCTTATTGTTTTGTCTCTAGGATCTGGTAGGAGTCACCAGTCTCGAGTCCGAACTGCATATTACATGTAACGCAAAGTGTGTGATTGTATCTTTGCTTGTACTTTCATTAATTAAGGAGTTCAGGGATGTAACATATAGAGAAGGGTGGCTTCTATCTTCCTTCCCCAACATGACTGGATTAAAAACTGGCTCCATACAGGACTAGAATGCTTTAAGAAATTCTATTGGTGCCAAGGGGAACTTTCTGGAAGTTCTCAGCATGGAACATAAAATCTAGAGATAGGCAAAACCTGAAAAAAAAATGACAAATCCGGGTGATTCATTTGTGGTCCATGGCTACCCGGAAACCACACCCCAACACACAAACACACCCAGTTAGTGGTTTGTTTTTCTGGTTCATGCCTGGGGTGGGGGAACACACACTCCACCCCCTTCCAACTTCCCCATCATGCCCAACCTGGTCCTGCCATCTCCCCCTCTTCTCCCCCTCCTTCTGCCATCTTCAGAGAGAGCAGTCCAACTTCCCCTACCTACTATGTGCAGACGCAACAGACCCTAAAGGGTCAAAGGATGATGGCGATGACAAAGGAAGAAGAGGAAGGGGCAGCAGGACCACATAAGGAGGCAACAGGGGCAATGGGAAAGGGGTAGGGGGTTACTTTGGCACTTTTGTTTCATTTCAGCAAAATGGCTTGCATGAACTAGCCCAGTCCATGTTTTTCACCAGTTTGTAGCTCGATTCATACCTACCTCTAATACGAACGCTTCTTTTGATTGCATTCCATAAGGAACAGCTAAGCCTTTTTATTATTATTCTTATTTCGATTTTAATTTATACTCCACACATTTAGTGATCATGCCACTACTCTGGCTGGCTTAGAAAATATTATAAAACATAAAGTTAAAAATATTAAAACCATATAAAACATATTAAAAGAAAACAAACAAAACCCTACCTCACCCCCCCACCCCATAAAATCACCCATCTGGGACATAGGATGGCAGACAATGGGCCAACATAATTTTACAAAAGGGTGGTGCTTGGGAAGGCCTGGGTAAAAAGCCAGGTTTTAATTTGCTTGTGGAAGCTCAGGAGGGTGGGGACCAGTCACATTTCCACAGGAAGAGAGTTCCAGAGCAGAGTGGCCACAACTGAAAAGGCCCGGTTTCTGCTTGATGCCTTCCAGGCCTCTTTTGGAGTGGCCACCCGCAACACTAAAGACTGGGAGGTGTGGGTGGGACGGGAAGATGACCTGAGGAAGGGGTGCTCTGACAGGTAGCAAGATCCTAAACCGTAAGGGGCTTTATAAGTTAGCATCCATATCTTGAATTTGGCCTGGAAGCACAGTGGGGTTCTCCCCCAGACATATTTGTAATTAATGAAAGCAAAGCATACATAGCTGTATTCAAGGGACCTCTAGTTTGGCCTTCAGAGCAGAGAAACTCCATCATTAGCTAGACAGCCATAGCAGGTAGCATCATAACTATTGAGTGGTTCCTTAATGTTATACTGAGGAAGAAAAATGGAATCAAATTCCCATCCGTTGCACATGAGAAATGTAAGAATAGGTTGAGAGAGAAAAGGGGGAATGAGACATTGGGAAGTTAACAGTCTTTGGAGAGCCAAAATAAGGAATCACAACAACTAGAAACACCTGGTTGACGCAGGAAAAAAATTGCTTTATCCATCCTGCAGGTACCACCAGCCTCTTCCCTGGATGAGCCTGAATTCTTTTATGGTTAGTTTATGAAGGGAAAATCTCTATACCAATATTTTGTAACAGGACTGGCAACTTGTGGCTCTCCTGTTGGAAGTGGTGGCTGGCAACTCCCATGAGCCCTAGCTAGCAAGGCTTATGATAAATGTTGCCACCCAATGACATCTGGAAGGCCACTAGCTGCCCATCCTTTCTCTACAGCAGAAGATATGGGAAGGGGCTAATTTGAGGGGGCAGGGGACCAGCACCATGACCTCTTGCAATTCAAGCTTTTAAAAGTTTTCATTTTGCAATATGGAACTGAAGTTGTGAGGGGGCTTTTAACTTTTTTTAAGGTACAAAAAAAATTGAGGGTGGGGAGGTCACAGATGTGAACGAGGCCCTATAAGGTCCAGGCATGGGCCTGTGTGACCCCCAGAATTCTGGAGATTGAATTCTGGGCTTAATCACAGTGTTGGTAATTTCTATTTTACCACCCTTGTCTTCTTAATTTGGGGGTGGGGGTGGTTCCTATTTCTGTATTTAGTTGATAGGATGAGAAGAAGAATTTAGTCTAAACACGGATAAACAATATAGGTGGCAATGTTTCCTTCTCAACTCCCTTCCTAACGATTCCTAACAGAAATGTTGCCCTTTGCTTTTTGTGCAACAGACTGAGCTGTCTATACTTTTTCTTTCAATTCACATTCTGAGAACGTTCTTTACAGAAACATTTGCTAACTCAAAGGACAGTGTCCTCGTCAGTGGAGAGATGTTCAGCGTCTGATAGAAAGATAATATAGCATTATTCAGATTACTCAATAAAATCAATAAAGTTATGGCCACAGGTATGTACACAGTTATCTCACTCAAGGGCCAAAAACCAAGGAACATCCACAAAGACACTGCCCAGCTCCCAGCTCTGCCAGCCCTTGATCACTGATGGGGATCACTTCTCTGAATTGGCCTACTTGTTTTCCTCCTCTTCCTCTAATTCTCCCCAGAGCTTCACCACATTTATCTGTCCCCCATGAAGCTTTTCTGCCTTTGCACCTACTATTGTAGGGCCATCTCCTACTAAGAAAGGTCCCTCCAGACAAGAGGTGATAGCATGTCTGGGTCCTTCCTTCCAGTAGAGCTGCACAGGATACCAATAGTAAAGGTAAAGGTTGCTCTTGACATTTAGTCCAGTCATGTCCAACTCTAGATGCTCATCCCCATTTCCAAGCCATAGAGCGAGCATTTGTCTGAAGACCGTTTCCATGGTCACGTGGCCAGCGCGACTAGACACGTAACACCGTTACCTTCCCACCAAGGTTGTCCCTATTTATCTACTCGCATATTTACGTGTTTTCGGACTGCTAGGTTGGCAGGAGCTGGGACAAGCGACGGGAGCTCACTCCGTCACGTGGATTCAATCTTATGACTGCTGGTCTTCTGACCTTGCAGCACAGAGGGTTCTGCGGTTTAACCTGCAGCACCAGGTATGCCAGCATGCACTGTGGGAGGTGTAGGGGTAGACCTGACTTCACCAGTACCACCGCAGTTATGTTAACTAGTAATGAGAAGATCCATCCGTCGACTTCCACTGACTACTTCCTTTCCTCACTTCCAGGTCCTTTTCTGTGCAAGTTCATTGGGATAGTTTCACAAGGGGTGTGTGTCTGTTCACAGTTCTGTGTGCGTTTTCTGAATGGATGATTCATGGGCATACAGAAACATTGATCAAAGGATTTCTGCACATTTTAGAAATGCATGTTTTGGTGCATTT